CTGCCTGATCTGGTCTGCCCTTATCCCAACTCATGCTCTTCAGTGGGAGTGGTTGTTCAACAGAGGAGCCCACAAGCCCTCATTCGTGATTTGAATTTATACTTCTCTAATGACTAGCAACTTTGAGCATTTTTTCCGTTGGCTATTTTTTTTTTTTGAGAATGTGTTCAAATTCTTTGTTCATTGTTTGAGTTGTTTTCTTACTATTGAGTTGTTCCAATTTCTTGTATTTATTTGAACTATCAGCACCTTGTTGGATACATGGTTTGCAAATATTTTCTCTCATACTGTAAGTTACTGCCTCACTCTCCTGACTACTCATTAATAGAAGCTTTTAGTTTGCAATAACCACACTTCTCTATTTTTGTTTCTATGCTTTTGTTTCTATATTGTTTCCTATGCTTTAGGGTTCATATCTTTAAAAAACTTTATGTAGACCAATGTCTAGAGTTTTTCTCCAAGGTTTCTTAATAGTTTTATAGTTTCAGGTCTCATACTTAAATCTTTAACCCATATGAAGTCTTGAACCCATATCCAACAATATGGACCCTAACTTCATAGTGCGAACAGCATTTCCTCTTTCATGGTTTGTCTTTTTCACTCCACTGAGAATGCTTTAAGTGCAAGCTTTAAACTTTAAAAAGGTTTTTAAAAATTATCAATTGTTTTCTTTATAGTTTCTGTTATGTATAACTTAAGGATTTAAAGCCCATAGTGAAATCATACAGCATCCCAAATATTTTTCTCAACGTTTCAAAGGTAATCCAACTAGATTTTGCCTGATAGTATTTATAGTACAAGCCATAGTCCTACTTTCTTTTCCCACATGAATAAGAACTTTTCCTGGTACCACTTAATAAGAAGTTCAGTTTTATTTAACTGTGATACCTTTCTTACGTAAATTAAGTTTCCAGGTATGTAAGTATCTGTTTCTATTCTATTTTGTTTCTTTACGGTTTTTTTGGCAGAGGGTCAATATCTGGGTCAATTCCATATTGTCGTAATCACCGTGATTTTACAACAGCTTTGGAGAATATCAAGGCAATATCTGCCTTCAGAGATTGCTACCTCCCCATATCTACCCTCTTCCTCCATTTTTTAGTTATAATATAAAGCCATTCTCACTTCTGCAGCTAGGGATATCCACACGACTAAGTTCTGGCCAACTGCACCCAGAGAGAAATGACTTGCTTGCAACTTTTGCATCATATGCTTTAAGGAAAGCTACTTACATGTTTCCTCCGTCCCTCTGGTAGCCACTGGAATGTGGACATGCTAACCTCAAATACACCAAGTAAGACCAAATCCTAGGAAACACTGGATAAAAGGAACTCACCAAGAAGAATCACCTAACTCCATTCTGTGAATTTGGACCTTTATATAAAAGAGAAATAAATCATTCCTGGTTAGTCACTTGTGCTCTGTGATGAAGTAGCTAAATGAATATCCTAATTAATGCACAATCTAATCACCTCTTAAATAAAAAATACTTATTTGGGAGGTAGAGTTACAGAGAGACAGAGAGATCGTCCATCAGCTGGTTCATTTTCCTACTAAAAATTATGTAATTATATAAATGATCATTGTCAATAGATGTTAATAAATTGGGTGACATCACTGTGACAAAGATGGGAGGGGCTACTTTAGAGGTGGCTGGTAAGGAATGTGTGCATGAGAAAATAACATGTGCGATGAGACCTGCAATATCAGTGTCTGTAGAGAAGACAGACTGTGAAAAAAGTCTTTAACCAGAAATAAGACTAGTGCAGTTAATGAAGACGAAAAACCAAAATGGCTGAAGCACGGGGTAAGAATAAGCACATAGAAAATAAAAAGTGCAAAGTACAGAAGGGCCAGATTATGCAAATGTGCTCATCTAAAATGGTACACTGTCCAAATCTCCAGAACCTATAAATGTCATCTTCAATGCAAGAGGGACTTGGCAGATTTGGTTATGTTAAGGATTTTGAAGTGGGAAAACTGAGTTGGTTTGTTCAAATGGACCCAGCTGTAATTGGAGGAGGGCAATGTGAGTTAGTGGTAGAAGATAGACAATGGAATCACAGGAGTGATATACTTTGAATGCATACAGATGGCCTCTAAAAGCTGGGAAAGGGATTCTCCCCCTGAAACCTCTAGAAGAAGAGATTATGCTAAGCTCAACGATACTGACTTCAGACTTGTAATCTACAGAATTACAACAGAACAAATCTGTGTTACTTTAAACCATCAACGGTGTGATAATTTGCTACATCAGCCATAGGAAACTAAAAATTTTGTACCTAGAAGTGGGATGTTGGAAACAAAACCTAAAAATGTGAAAGTGGCTTTGAAATTGGATAATGGGTAGAACTTTGGAGAATCTTGAGATGATTAGAAAAATCCTAAATATTTCTGAACAGACTTACAATAGAAATATGTATGGAACTACATACTTCTAAGAAGGAAATTAGATGCATAGTGGGAAAGGCCTGTATCATGCTTTGTTTAAAACACCTAAACCATCATGAACAGACCATGAGTAGAGACGCTGGTATTAAAGGTGCTGCTGAAAATGAAGACTGTGCTATGGAAATCAGAAGAAACGGGGTCCCTATGACACAGTGGCAGAAAGCCTGGGTGAGCTACATTCCACCGTTCAAAACAGCAAGATTTATAAAGACCAGCTTGGATATATAGATGAGATTTCCAAAGAAAATGTTAAAAGTACAACCTGGTTAGTTTATGGCTGCTTTAAGTAAAATGGGATAGGATTCAAAATACACTGGGTAGGTGAAACTGACATAACTAACAAATACAGGAAATGAGAGAACGTGAGAAATAAAGATGATTCTTAAGGTAGCACTGGAGCAATTGCTATCCACTGACATAGATCATACTGAAGAAAGAATAGGTTTATATGAGAAAATAAATTTGTTATTCTAAAAGACACATAGACAGAAGTACCAAATATATAGTCTGAAAAACAACAGGTGTTCAAAGACAGCCAGAGTTGGATGTATAAATTTGTGTGACATTTAAAAAACAAAACTAGAAAAATCAAACAGGGGGCAAAACTACAGAAATAAAGTAACGTATGATCATTCTTCACAAGTCAGATGGAGAGGCAGGGCCAGCAAAGGAGAAAGAGAAACAGCAAACAGGTAAAAAGAAATTGAGTGTGATGATAGAGATGTCACTTACAGAATCACTGATATGGATTACAATTAGTATTTTACTTTATATAATTATCACATGCTGGGCTATATGCAAACTCTAGCTTAAAATAAAAAATTTTCAGCCCTGAGCATTAATTCTGCCAGTATTCAAATATTAATGGAATATCCCCTAGGACACTAGGCTACAGAAGGTTGAAGACATACACAGATTCAGGGACTTTTCCATGATACAGCTGGAGTGTGAATAGAGAAATGTTAATCACAGAACTAACTTCCTACAGAAAAATGGAAGGAAGTAAAAGCATTGGGCCAATCTACAGACCTCTGGGCAAGGCATACTCTGAGTACTACCTCTACAGGAATAGTGGAAGCAATAAAAAAAAAAAAAAAACAGCAACAGGAAAAAAGTATTTTCAGAGCATCATCAATATCCTTCTCTTTAATTTCTCCAATGCAGCTTTCTGTATCCACAGGAGAAACAAACAAATCTCTGTATATTTTAGTTTCTTTTCTTCAAGCTGTTGCTATACTTGGTTGTCTCTTCACCTGAACAATGCTACAGCAGTGTTTGATCCCAACTGATAATAGCTTCTTACTGTTCCATCAATCAAAGTTTTAAAGTGTTTTAGTTGGACAACATAGTAACCATAATTTATAAAATTCTTAATAATTCTGTGTTAACACCGAAGAGTAAAATGTTTACAAAGAGGAAATACTAAAGTAAAAAATGCATACCCCTCTCTCCCTCCCTCCATCTCATATCAGCAGCAGAAGTCAAAAAGGGAATGGACTTCGATGTCCTTCTTTGTGATTCCAGAGAAGTAGCATGGAATAGATAAATGACACTTCAGTAAAGGGAGAAGATCATTTTTAAATGATTAGTACCTGCAGGTTCTGACACAAGGATAGGCAATGACATAAGGAAAAATTTGCATGGCCATGTCAGCAGTAACAGTCACATAAATTCACTTGAAAGGGATTAAAACATTTTTCAACTCTAAAGAAGCTGAGGCTCTTCAGAGTTGTCGGAGTTACTGAAATCATGCTGTAGTTCTCCTGGCACGCCAGTCACATCCATGTGCTACAAATCCTGACAGTGCTCCAGCCCTCCTCAGGATGAGGTGGAGTGGGGAATGCGCACAGTTGACCAGACTCAGGAGGGCCAAGTGAGTTTTCAAGAGACATGGAAGAAAAAGAAAATGTTCCAAGCATAAAAAGAGACAGAAGTTGAAGTTTATAAAGATTCCTCCCCCTGACCTCCCCAAGCATGTCTTGTCTTTATACCGTTTCACAGTTTTTATAATTACTGAAAAGGAATTGTGGGGACTCCCAACATTCTCCTGAATCTTCCGAGTCCAGAGAGCAGCTGGTTGCTTGCCTTGCCTTTCCCAGGCCAGCTTGTTGAGCTGCCCGGGGTGTCAGGCGGCTCGCTCGGAGGGTGCAGACAGCTGTGCTGTCAGAGGGCACTATGCTCTTGGGACATGTATCCAATCTGAATGTCAACCAGCCCCATCCCCCTCATGAAGTACAGAACAGAACGGAAGAGGACAGCAGCATGCACTGATTCCAGAGTCCAAGCCTCCATTCTTTGCCTCTTCACAAGGTCTCAAAACCAATGTGCTAAACACCAGCCTTTATCAGCGCAAGAAAACTAAACATGAAGTAACAACTCCTAGTACTCACACTGACAAACAGTATGTGCTTTAGGAACGCTTAAGTCAACAACACAAATAACAAATATAATGGCTAAATTAAATGCCTTATAAATACAATCTAGCATCTTACTAAGTCATTGTACACTATTAAGATTCCATCATTAAGATGTCCACAGCACTGGCTTACCTTTTCTAATACAGATAAGTTCATGTACTCCACAGGTTCTTTCTCCACCTGTTAGAAACATGTTCAGAAGTTAGGAAAATGGACTGACATTGACTTCTACAAAGAACCATTTTAAATTGGCACCTAGAATTGACCTCAAAAAGAATTCCCAAATTCTTCAATTTTAACTACAGGACTATTACAGCCTTTCATCAGAATTTTCCTGAAACCTTTCTTGCGGAAGTCTTTGCTTAACTTCAGTCAGGAATGTTATTCCAAAAGGCAAGTTTCTCTACAGCACCAATTCTATTAGCCATTCCCCAGCACCTCCTCACAGCATCGAGAAGAAAACATCGAGAGAAAGGACTCATTTCTCTTCCTGAACATTTACGTGTTAGGTAAGTTACTATCAAAAATTCAACTGCAAGAGTACAACTTACATTTTATCACATATATTCATATGGAATAAAGTAAAATGTGACCCTTTCCACATTCTCCAGCTACCCATTGTTTTAAATTCATATTAAGACGAATATGAAGATAAAACAACCTTTTTAAAAATGGTTTACTTTTTAAACTACTTGGCAAAAAAAAAAAGAGAGAAAGAGGGAAATGTACAGATTTATCTTTAAAATTCCATGCAAATAGTTATCACAAAGTACGCAACCAAGCTACGGCAAACCACAGCAGCCACCTACGCGATACAGAGTGCTTCTTTATAGACCCTCGCCTAGCCTCCAGAAGTGACTGGTCTCCTGAGTGCTACCAACGCATCTTATTTTTTTTTAAGATTTATTTTTTATTTTTATTGGAAAGGCGGATATACAGAGAGGAGAGACAGAGAGGAAGATCTTCTGTCCAATGTTTCACTCCCCAAGTGAGCGCAACGGCCGATGCTATGCTGATCCAAAGCCAGGATCCAGGAACTTCTTCTGGGTATCCCACGCGCATGCAGGGTCCCAAAGCTTTGGGCCATCCTCGACTGCTTTCCCGGGCCACAGGCAGGGAGCTGGATTAGAACCGGCGCCCATATGGGATCCCAGGCATGCAAGGCGAGGACCTTAACCACGGTGCCATCGCGCCAGGCCCACCAATGCATCTTATTTGGTCTGTTTATAAAACTGATAATATTGGGCCTGATGCATGGTAGCCTGTCAGCTAAAGTCCTTGCCTTGCACACCCTGGGATCCCATATGGGCATTGGTTCTAATCCTGACAGCCCCGCTTCCATCCAGCCCTCTGCTTGTGACATGTGAAAGCAGTCAAGAACGGCCCAAAACGTTTGGACCCTGCACCCATGTGGGAGAGCCAGAAGAGTCTCCTGGCTCCTGGTTTCATATTGGCATAGCTCTAGCCAATGTGGCCACTTAGGGAGTGAATCAATGGACGGAAGATCTTCCTCTGTCTCTTCTCCTCTCTGCATATCTGACTTTCCAATAAAAATAAATCTTTTTTAAAAACTGATATAAATGGAATCACGGAGGAATTTTTGAGTCTTGCTTCCGTCTGTAGAATCAACCCACTGTTTCACCTATGACTGTGACTTCACAGCTTCATATTGTCTTGTAGAATTGTACTACATAGGGCCCAGCAGGCCCGGCGCGGTGGCGCAGTGGTTAAGGTCCTCGCCTTGCATGCCCGGGATCCCATATGGGCGCCGGTTCTATCCCAGCAGCCCCGCTTCCCTTCCAGCTCCCTGCCTGTGGCCTGGGAAAGCAGTCGAGGATGGCCCAAATCTTTGGGACCCTGCACCCATGTGGGATACCCAGAAGAGGCTCCTGGCTTCGGATCAGCATAGTATCGGCCATTGTGCTCACTTGGGGAGTGAATCATCGGACAGAAGATCTTCCTCTCTGTCTTTCCTCTCTGTATATCCGCCTTTCCAATAAAAAAAATAATAATAAAAATAAATCTTTAAAAAAAAGAATTATACTACATATAAATACACCCACATATGCACATATATTTGTATATACTGATACATACATGAATTTCAATTCCACTGCTCATAACATTTGGATGAGTTTAAATCTGAGTTTTTTATAAATAGTTTTTCCAAGAACTTTTTCATACACAACTCTGCAATTAGATGCCTACCCAGGAGAAGTACCACTGGCTCCCAGAATGAGTGTATGTTCAAAGATAATAGTAAATGGTGAAAGGAAAAAAAGAAAATGTGGTATTTTTACATACTGGAATAGAATAGTCTTTAAAAGGGAAGAAAGTTTGTCATTTGCAACAGCCTGGATGAACCTAAAAGACATTATGTCAAGTGAAATAAGCCAGACACAGAAAAACATTACAAGATCTCACTTCTATGTAGATTCTAAAAATGCAAAATTTACTATGCAGACAGTATATATGGCATGATTACCAGAAGTTGGGAATGAAAGACAGGGCTGGGAATAAAGTAGATGTTAGTCAAAATTTCAGACAGGAGAAACTGATTTTAGAAATCTGCTGTGCGACGTGGTGAAAACAGTGAGTACTAACATATGATATATTTCAAAATTGTTGTAAATGAGATTTTAGGAGCCAGCAAAGTGGTATAGTACGCTAATCCTCTCCCTGCTTTGCCAGCATTCCATGAGGGCACAGGCAGGTGTCCCAGCTGCTCCACTTCCCAGTCCACCTCTGTACTTATGGGCCTGGGAAAGCACCAGAGGAGAGCTAAAGTCCTTGAGTCCCTGTACCAACGTGGGAGAACCATAGGAGCTCCTAACTGCTAGCTCGAGTCAGCTCAGCTCCAGCCATGTAGCCTTCTGAGGAGTAAACCAGTAGATGGAAGATTTCTCTCTCTCTCTCTCTCTTTCTCTCTCTCTTTCTTTATAAATTTGGCTTTGAAATAAAATAGTAAAAATTTGTTTTTGAAAAAACGAAGAGTAGATTTAAACTCTCCTGTCATCACCAAAATAAATAAGTAGATGAGGTGATAAGATACATTAACTACCTTGATTTCATCATTCCACAATGTAAAAATATATTAAAATATCACACTATATTCTATATATACAAGTAAATTTTGATTATCTTAATCCATCATGAGTAATTTTCTCTAAGTTACTCTATACATACATAATGGTACTACTTTAACGTAAAGTAAACTTCTACAGTATTTCAAACATGTGCAACTTTATAAATACACTGTGAATTACTTTTGGACTTTGCACAAAAATATTAATCACTTGATGTTATCAACACTGCAGTTATATGACATAGAAATACCTTACAGCAATAACGTGAGAACTAAAAACTACAATAGCCACTAAAAAAGTAGGTCATCTGGGAAGCAAGCTACAAAACTAGAAAACAGTATTTCTATCACCAAAGTAGGTTAGAGCTACAGTCTAATTTGATTGTAACAGCACTACTGCTTCTTTATTATCAATAACACATATTAACCACTAAAAGGGAGACAGGCTTAACAAGAATGCTTAAACTAAAGCTGGGGCCTAAAAAATTATTGTTCAGAAAAAAATTCTGATATAAAATAATATTGCAATACTACCAACAAACAACCACAGATCACCTGCTAAAGAACTAGGGTACAATATAACTATATATTACAAATCTCTAACACAGGAAGGAGACACTAGTCAAATGACAGGATATTTACCAAATTTTAAGAAAACAGAATTTTCAAGACAGAAGAATCATGTAATTGCAACAACCCAACTACAATGTATATTAAGGACTATGATGTTTTCATAGGCTATATAAAAGTATTTTTTCTATATAATCATTAAGATATTCTGCATATGCTACTTCTATAATTTAAGATTTGAATTGTGTACTTAATATAGGTAACAAGGTGGTACTTTATTAATTTATTTTTATTGGAAAGGCAGATTTACAGAGAAAAGGAGACAGAGAGAGAGACAGAGAGAATCTTCCATCCGCTAGCTCACTCCTCGAACGGATGCCACAGCCAGAGCTGAGTCAATCCAAAACCAAGAGCAAGCAGCCTCCTCCAGGTCTCCCACATGGATGCAGGGTCACGAGGACTTGGACCATCCTCCATTGCCTTTCCAGGCCATAAGCAGAGAGCTGGATGCAAAGTGGGGGCAGCCAGGACATGAACACATGTGGCACGCATATGGGATGCCAGCCTCCGCAGACAGAGGTTTAGCCAGTTGGATTCATTGCACCAGCCCCAAGGCCGTACTTTTAAAAGCCTGTAATTAACACTAGATTCAACCTCATATTTAGTTTAAATTGATTAGGTCTTACTATATACAGATATTCTTAAATACAAGCATAATAGCATAATAATTTTTATAAGGCCTAATGTTAACAGAAACATTAAAAAACATTACATTTTAAAACTTTTCTCAAAAGTACAAAATGAGGGCCTGGCAGCGTGGCGTAGCGGCTAAAGTGCTCGCCTTGAACATGCCAGGATCCCATACGGGCGCCGGTTCTAATCCCAGAAGCTCCACTTCCCATCCAGCTCCCTGCTTGTGGCCTGGGAAAGCAGTCGAGGACAGCCCAAGGCTTTGGGACCCTACACCCGTGTGGGAGATGTGGAGGAAGTTCCTGGCTCCTGGCTCCGGACTGGTACAGCACCAGCCGTTGCACTCACTTGGGGAGTGAATCATTGGACGGAAGATCTTCCTCTCTATCTCTCCTCCTCTCTATATATCTGAATTTGTAATAAAAAATAAATAAATCTTTTAAAAAAAAAAGTACAAAATGACAATGAAGGCTAACTTCTACTTTTGAAAGCATCCTACTTAGATAAAAGAACCTCATAAAAAGCCAGTCAAATAATTACTGTATTTTAAATATAATCACTTGGCCTGGCATGGTAGCCTAGCAGCCAAAGTCCTCGTCTTCCAAGCACCTGGATCTCAATATGGGTGTCAGTTCATGTCCCAAAGGTCCCACTTCCATCCACCTCCCTGCCTGTGGCCTAGGAAAGCCTTCAAGGACAGCCCAAAGCTTTGTGACCCTGCACCCGCATGGGAGACCCAGAAGAAGTTCCTGGCTCCTAGCTTCGGATCGGCTCAGCTAAGATGTTGTGGCTACTTGGGGAGTGAATCAGTGGACAGAAGATCTTCCTCTCTCTT